TTAGCTAAAGTATAATAAATTTAAAACCACCACCTTAGGGTGGTGGCTGCCGTCACCGGCCGCCGTGTCGGGTGGCGGTGTGCTTGCCTCGTTGAGTTCGATTCGTTTAGGGTACTTGAAACCTAATGGGCCTTGTAAGCCCTAATGGACCCTAATTGACCCAATAAAACCCTAATGGGCTTAATGATTTTCAAGTGGGCCTAATAGGCCCAATAAAGCCCTAATTGACCTAAAAGCCCAACAAATTGATAAATGGGCTAGTATTTGGTTTGGAAAACCCTAATGCCAATAAAACCCTAATTTGGGGAATTAATCGGGACACACGGGAATTATTTAATAACTTGAGATATTAAATAATAATCATTGGCAAAAATGAATCTAAGCAATATTGGACTTAATGGATTAAGTCCTTAGAGGATTAAGTCCTTAATGGGTTAAGTGAGAAACACTTAACCCTAATCGTTATTTTATATGAAACCCTAATTTCACTTGGGTTCATTGTTGGGCCTTGATGATTGGGTTATTAAATGGGCCATCCAAGATCAAGCAAATAGACCAGAATAATTAATGGGCTTTGGGGGTAAGGTCCATGTAAGAGGTTTGGGCCCAATTTGGAAAATTGGGCCATATATGGGCCATAGTTTGGGCCTTAATGATTATATGATGTTGGGCCTTAGAATAAGACCATGTAAAGGCTTAGGCCCAATTTGGATAATTGGGCCATATGTTGGGCTTTGATTCACAGTTGACTTTGGCCTATGGATTGGGCCTTGGGCTTGAATAAGCCGAGCTTGGGGGTAATGTAGTAATTATCCAAAGTAGGTACTTATGGTTATGTAGTGGAGCCCAATTATTAATTGGGTATTGTTTGATGTTGACAGCTCGGGAATCTGTCATCCAGCAGCTGGGGTTGAGTCTGCGGGACTTCAGCAGTGTGGGATTGAGTCTGCGGGACTTCAGCAGTGTCAGGTGAGTCTCCTCACCATACCAATGGGTCTAAGGCACCAAGGCCGGCCCATTTTATCATATGTGGTACACTAGTTGTAGTGATATGTGGTATGTTAGTTGGTTATATGCCATGTGCTATGTTATTTGTTTATGTGATATTTGCATGAAAGACCATGGGGGGAGCCTATGGCACTTGGATGTAAGACCATGTGGGGGATCCCATGGCTTTTCAAGTAAAGACCATGAGGGGAGCCCATGGCACATGGATGTAAGACCATGTGGGGGAGCCCATGACTTTCCTATTAAAGACCATGGGGGGAGCCCATGGCACCAGATGTAAGACCACGTGGAGAGCCCATGGATTTCCTATTAAAGACCATGGGGGGAGCCCATGGCATCCTGGAGTAAGACCTTGGGGGGAGCCCACGACATCTGTATATGTTTATATGCATGACTATGTGATTGATATGGTTATCTGATTGATATGATTATCTGATTGATATGGTTTAGGTAGCTGTTATAGCTAATGTGGATTATATGGTTATGATGATTGTGTGGGGTATGCTCTGGGGAACTCACTAAGCTTTGTTCTTACGGTTTATAGTTTTGGTTTCAGGTACTTCATTTTCAAAGGAAAGGAGTCGGCTCGATCGCAGCGCATCACACTATGTCTTCCGCACATGAGATCTTTGGGATTACACTCTGATATTATTTTATGATGACATGCTTGATTATTGTCACACTGGTTTGACATGAGATATTATTATGACTGTTTTATACTGATGGTTTTATGTAATAACTTAAATAAAACGAAATTTTTGGTCTTGAATTTTTGGGTCGTTACACCTATAACGTGGCCTCGCCCGCTATATACATACAAACAATATCATATAATGATGCTAGCACATAAAGAATCATACTCAATACTATATACTCTAGTCCTAAGGCCTCGCCTATCATGGGCCCCGCCCCCTACTCTGCTGATAATGAGATATGGAACCCCGTCCAAACTCTGCTAGTGGTGAGATACGGGCTCCCGCCCACCCTCACTTCCCTCCTATCATGGGCCCCGCCCCTACTCTGCTAATGATGAGATATGGAACCCCGTCCACACTCCGCTAATGGTGAGATACGGGCCCCCACCCACGCTCACTCCCCTACCAGGCACATACAAGTATCACACAGACAACAAGTATAACTAAACATGTATACATTCATCGGGTACCACCCGACATCGAACCGTAGTCTGGAAACATACATATAAGCATTCCTTGGGCCCCTCCCAGCATCGAACCGTAGTCCGCAATACACACAATCATAACTGCCAAGGGCTAACCCCCGGGTCTTCCTACCATACATAAGCAAAATGAGCCGGCATTGGTGCCTTCGACCCATGCAAACAGTAAGGAGACTCACCTCAAGTATCGTATGATAGCTGCATGCCTCTGCCCCGCGATCGACTCTACTCAAACCCCTACATATCACAACCCTTAGTAACCATTCCATGCTTCATGACCCTTCAAGGGTCAACCTTTGTCAAAGTCAAAAGTCAATGCTCCGAGTTAACTCAACTCGTTGAGTCGTCTTCTAACTCGTCGAGTTCCCATAAATCTCAGAATCGTGATATAACGAGTCAACTCATCAAGTCCTTCCCTAGACTCGTCAAGTTCTTCCTTTGAACAGAATCGAGACTTTTCAACCCAACTCGTCGAGTTCCTCCTTGAACTCGTCGAGTTCTTCAGTCTGCTAACTTCTTCTTAATGCATTAAGCCACTATTCTTCAGATCTAAGCCCTATACTTCATATTCAGATTGGAAATGCCCTTAGAAGGGTAAAGTTTCCAGCTTTACCCGTTAATAGCCTTCGTTAAGTGATTTAGCTCAAACCCTAACTCTAAAAGACCTTGATCTTGATCCAAAATCCATCAATACTTCAAGATAAGGTGTACAAACAGAGATCTGGACCTTAGAGGCTAGATGAACACGTAAAGCCTTCAACTTTCTCTCCATGCATGGCCATTTAGAGCTTAAAAGGCCAAAATGATGGTCTAGAGGTTACATGGGGCTTCTATGGCCATAAAGTTTGCACCTTTATTCCATGAAAGCCCTTCAAGACCCTAGATCTGAAAGGGTATTCACTTGGGACGTCCATTCCCAAAGGATCATGATAGTTGAGCCAAAAACCCAATAAAAGTGATAATAAATGGATCTAAGTAATCACTAAGCAAGTTTGAGACTTGCTTACCAGAAAATGATGAGAATGAAGTGAAGTTGTTGGATCTATAATCTTCTTCTTGAGTCCTCAGGCTTCTCCTTCTTCCACAAGCTTCAAACACACACAAATTCTCTCAAAATGACTCACAAGCTCACACAATGCATTAGGGTTTCGAGATTAGGGTTTTGGGACTTGGAGGCTGTAAATGAGGCCAACACCTTGGGGTTAAGTTGTTTAAAAAGGGTGCAAAATCTCGGATTTAGGGTTTCCCAAACCCAGTCCAACTCGTCAAGTAGGTTTCTTATCCCGCGTCCCAAAATCATTCCTATTCGTCAAGTTCTCCCCCTTGAACTTGACGAGTTGACCTTTTAAATTGAAAATTATATTTCCTTAATTAGCATTCCAAATTTCGGGTGTTACATATTACCTTATTATTTGGTTGGATTTTTAGGTGTGAGTGTACTATAATTGTGATACTTTAGTACTTTGATATGTGTTTGGTAAGATAACCACATAACATTAGTTTTGTGACTGCAGAGATGACTTGGTTTTTAAAGGCTGAGATCCAGGTTAGACATTATTGGAGAAAGTATTGAGATTTTGATAAGGTATGTATGCTAATTAGGTTATGGCCTCCTAATTTTTTATTTCTAGAAAGAACATTTAATTTTTGATTTACTAACTTTGAATTTATATATTTTTGACTGATCTCTTTGAGTAATGTTTGGTATGGTGTAGTTCTTTCATGTGGTGTTATTTATTATATTTGGTGTATGTTTTAGTCGGATGGGTTTGGGCTATCTCTTGGGCTTTATACAATAAAGTTCACATTTTTTCCAATAATAAGATTTTTTTTGTTTTCCAGCTCCTAGAGACAATTAGGTTATTTGTTGATTTTTATTTATATTATAAAGTTCACATTTATTCCAATAATAAGATTTTTTTTTCAGCTCTCGGAGACAATTAGATTATTTGTTGATTTTTTTTTTGTTTTTCAGCTCTCGAGTCTTTCATTTAGTGTTTGTTCCAAAAAAAAAAAAACTCTTTTCCATTTAGTGGTTTCATTTAGGTTTTATCATATAAAAATCTTATACTCTTATTTTTTTTTACATAAATGTTTTAAACACCCTATATTCAAAAAGATGTTTGCCATTAAACATCTATATATTCGAGAAAAAATAAAAGAAAATTATAATAAGGGTGGCTATATTCTTAATATTGCATTATGTTGCATTAACACTATTTTTTATAACTTTATTGTAGATATTTTCTTATTAAAGTATTGTACTTTGAAAATACAATGTTATAATTGGGTGAATGTTTTCAAATTATACTGCTTCCAAACTACAATGCTTTAATCAGTTGCAAATTTCATTTTTTTTAACTAAACTTTTTCTTATTTAAAACTTTTTTTAATTACTTGGCATACTTGAGATATTATTCCTAAGAAGATAGTTCCCTTTTAACCAAAATTTATTGTTTTTTTATATATTCTTTATGATTTTAATAGGTTGAAGTGACAAACGGTTGTCCTCAGAAAAAACATAAACATGACCGACAAGAACATGATTGGGGAAGGAATAGTAATTGTCAAACTAACGGTGTTATTTGTAAAAAAATCTTAAAGATTATGAAGATTTTTATAGGGGTTACCTACTACTATAATTTGAATATGATATCAAGGTCATGAAAAAATTATATAATTACCAATATAGTCGTGATGCACTAAACTAATTGTTTAAATTCAATGATATATATTCATGACACTAACTTTAATTTTTAACTTTATTATATATATAATAATTAAAGCACAAGATCCTTATGAACAGTACCTAACCCAGGTACTGTTCATCAGTTTAGCTTAACTGTGATTAGTTTAGTTCTTCTATTACCCCACCGCATCTCATCTTATCGACCTTACCCCATCGCCTTCCACCGCCTCACCGCCTCAGATCCTTTCCATTAATCGTCTTCTTCTTCTTTCTTTGATTATGCAGTTCTCTCTCTGCACCCAAAAAAAGTCTCCGCTCCTTCGCTTACCGCTGCTCCACTGGAGGTTGAAGACGAATTTTGGTGCCCTATTACCCGTAGTCGTGACCACAGCCACCAACGACCGATCGACCTCCACTGCGGGTCGATTGGTCGTCGTATTTGACCTTCTGTTCGTCTTTTTTTGGAGGTTGCCCTCTGTTCGTATTTCACCGACTCAAATACTTTCAATCATCTGCGAGGTTGTCGATTTTGACGGACTGAAGTTCTCTCAAAAACTTCATAATTTTTCAGAAGATGAAGACATTTGGTTTGTGTTCATTAGAAGTGAAAGAAATCGAATTGATGTTTGTTCAAATTGTCGTCCGCCTTTAACTCTTAGGATGTGTCATGTGTGTCTGTTTCGTTATGAAGGATTCCAGATGTAAAAAAATAATTCTTGTAAGTATGTACCGTAATTATAGCATTTTATAAGGCTTAAATTGGAGGACTTTGAGGATTTTTCTGAAAATAGGAAGCGTCTGGAAGAGATAAAAGCCCACAATGGAGTTGGTGGGTGTTGATTGTTAGATTCACACCAGTGAAGATTCTGGCTTCTGTTTGGTGGGTTTACTTTTTTGTGTCCAATAAGTTTTATTCAAGGGCCACCATGGAAGGGTAAAATCGTCTCTTATGTTATGTTTGGTTTCTTGTTTTGTAAAATTTGATTTTTTGAGGTCGTTTTAGGGCATGCCGGAGTGAGGAGCCGGTGACTTCAGCGGATGGTGTCAAAGTCCGATGAAAGAGGGTGCAATGGGAGTGAATGAGTGAAACAATTACATCAAGATCGCCTCTCCCAGACATGTTCCCGAGGTAAAATTTTTCAATCCACTGTCAAAAAATTTGATTCAATTTCTCCATAGCGGGCATAAATTTATGATTTTTTTCCTGTTTATTATAGGATGGGAATAAATGGGATGATGGGTACTTCAATCGAGTCTTTAAATTCATTGAAGAACTTATCAACCAGCATGAACACACAAATATCGATGCAAAAACGTCTATCAGAGAATTTGGATCCAAGCTATAAGCCAACCTGTTGTCCGACATGTTCAAGCGATTATGAACAAGAGCTAGCAAAATTAAACAAGAAATCGGAAAAATCTTCATCAGATAAGAGCAATCTACCTCAATGGCTCAAAATGCCAAAACCAAAGTTCAATATTTGGTAATCAGTTGTTTTCATACAATAAAGAAACTTCAAAAACTGTGTTAAAGTTTTGTACTATTAATTTAAAAAGAACAAAAAAAAAATCTGATTTAACACAATAACAGAATCAAAATAGGTTCAAAAGTATTTATGTTATTGAATCATTGTATTCATCATTTCAGCACCAAATTTCTTGAATTTTTTTTCCGGTTTTACAGATCAAGGATCAAGAACTAAACCGAACATGCTTCTAAGACAAACCCAACCAACCAACCAACCAACCAACCACCGTTAGAGCCACCACGGAGCCCGGTTCGAACCGAATTGGTTCTTGGACCGAACCGAATTGGCTTTTTTATGTCTTTACAATGATTCTTATTTGTATATATTTTTACAGGTTTCAAGGTTGATTTATACAAATTCTGGACTTGCAATATTGGCTATGGCACAACCTACTGAAAAGAAGGTACAAGGAGATATAATACTCCATGAGTTACATAATTTCTTTTATTTCTGATCAATTATGTCAAGGAAAAAACTAAAATAACTTTTTTTTTTTCATTTTATAATATAGGAAGGGCGTATGAACAATGGTAAGAGGAGGGTGCAATGGGAGTGAATGGGTGATTGTATTCAAACACACCGGCCACCTCTACGCCTTATTAACAGCCAAGAATGGCTTTTTGTGATGATTGAAACCGTCAAAAAAAGGTACTTGACTGGGTATATACTTGACTGGGTATATGCTTCAAAGCCTGCCAAGTTAGTCATATTTGGTTAAGTCACAGGGCCATTTCTGAAATAGGACAAGATTGTTGCAATGAAATTTATACTTGAGCATGGTAAAAGTGAGAAGGACAAGCAGAGTTTGAGACAAGAAATTGAGGTGTTTACCTTATTCCCGATAATTTTAGTTTGTGTAATTCTATTTAAACTTCATCTTGTCATCCATTAGGTTGTTGTTTAGATTATGGATTAGTTCAACTTTCATTAATTCTCTTCCTTTTATTCCATTTATTTACTGAAAAAGAATCAGTTGTATTCTTAATCAATTATGCTTTTGATTTCTTCAAAATGGAGCTGGTATGTAACGAACAACTCATATTATGGATTTTGTTATTTGACTTTGGTGGAATGACGAACTATTATTATTTTTAGCTTTTTACAACAACATTTTGGGGAATAAAAATCGATTTTTGGCAGAATGGTAACAACTGATATAAACCTTGATTGTTGTTTCTGTAATATGCACTACATCAATTATTATTGCAAGGGAGAATGACTTGCTTCCTTCTATTTTTTCAGGTATGCTATTCTTATTGTTGTCATTTTAAATAGATGATTACTATAAGCTTGGTAATTTAATGTCATTTATTTTTTTGGAATGTAATGACTCATTCAGATTCCATGGTCATTCCATTCCACTCCTTTTTTATTCCATTCCAATTATATCATGTTATTTATCTATTAACTTTTTATCCAACATAATTTGCCTCGGTTTTCATTACCTACACATGAAGTTGTCGGGGGAGGAGCTGTTCCAGTTGAATTCAAGATGTTTATAGTAATTTGACATGTAAAAAAAATCTTCATTAAAATGTTTATCACAAAGTAAGTTGTTATTTTGTCTATGTCTGTTGGATGACAAAACTATTTTCTGGTATTGATGTGTCTAGAAATGGAACTGCTCCTGTCGCAATCTTGCAATCAACAAAAAATATCTGACCCGTGCAACGCACGGGTCACTTTACTAGTTATAAAAATAAATTTTGATTATTATGTGGTTGTTTTGGTTTTTTAATTATACTAATAGTTAAATCAAAACAGAGTTAATTATGTCTGAGGATAAGTTATAAAATTGTTTATTACCTTTTGTGCTATTAAAATATATTAATATAAAAAATGACTTTTTGGTTTTGACCAAGTTTATTTATAAATAAATATAAAATAACAAAAAAGGCAATGTAAAATGTCAAATTTTAATGCCTCATTGGTCGTGAAAAAATGAAATCTAGCTACTGTCGATTTAGGAAAAAGACAAGTATGGTTACCAATGTTTATCTAGAGTCTTGAAATGTGATATCTAGAGTCTCACAATTCATCTATCATGATAGCACAACATATATATATATATATATATATATATATATATATATATATATATATATATATATATATATTGTCATTCCATTTTTTCCAAACTAAAAGACCTTGTAATTTCAAGATTCCAATGTTTATCTAAAATAATTTTGATGATACAAAATACTACCATACAAAATAAATAACAGTAAAATGTTATACAAATACATCCAATTGGTGACCGCACCATTAACTTTATTTCATATTATAATATCAAACAATCGTGACAGGAAACTTAAAGAGGAAAAACCGATAAACAAAAGTTTAACAATAATAATAATAATATATAAAAATATGTGTTAACCCATTAGTAGTATATAAATAGAAACGATAGTCCAGAAGACATAAAACTGACCGATAACAATATGTATGTAAGTGATGTGTTCTTTGACATATAAAATGTTTTTGAACGAAAAAATATTTGTTATCATTGCTTATATGATAATGTGTATTTGACGCTTAATGGTAAATAATATTTAACTATAAAGGATACCTACTAAAAATATGATGTATAAAATAAAGTTGCATGATTATTAATTCACAATCAATCATATGTATATGTATGTACATCCGTAAAGAATTCAAACTTTTTATTTTTAATTCTCATTAATTTTATTTATCATAGCATTACTCTTATTGAAAACTAATTTTTGAAAAATTATTCGAACCCGTCGCTTGGCGCGAGTAAACGGCTAGTATATATATATATATATATATATATATATATATATATATTATATATATATACACACACACACACACACTAATAGGATACACGCGCAATGGGGTGGCTCCAGTTAGTTCCTTTCGGTGGATAGTTTTTGTGCGGTAATTAGCTTCTTTTTGTGTCGGATAGTTCCTTTCTAGAAAATACGTTACTATTTCTAGAAGTGAAGTGCTTGATTTTATTATTTTGAAAGTGCGTTGTTATTTCTAACCAATTAGTGTTTGTTTTTTTCTGGAAAATTTGATTATAAAAAGTAGGATGTTAAGATTTACATGTGAAAGTGAATTAATATTTTTAAATCGGCTTTCCTTTAAATTGGAACCTTAATCTAGTCTAGTTTAATAAATAAAACTTGATTTGCGCAATGCGGCAAACATAAAATAATTTTTTTTCGACTATTAGTTTTCTCAGAAAAATAGTATTTGAAATATAAATTGCTCTCTAATTGCAACTTAGCTTTCAAGACCATATAGCTTCACAATCGTCGTATTCGTTTTTTAAATGGAAGACAATAAACGAAAGTTAAATTTACATCCTCTTATATTCAAGTACTCTAGTCCTCCAAAAATGGAAATATTCAAATTAAGCACGAGATGTTAAGAGACAAAGTACGTAAAATATCCCAAAAAAAAACTTATGAAATATAGGATAAAGTAAAATATCAATTTTCTAAAATTCAAGTAATATAAATTGATATTTCAGAACGCATGTCCTTTTTTAGTTCAATTAAAATTGGTTATATAAACACGTTTTTTGTCCATATAAAAAAGATGTTTAAAACAATGAAAAATTCCTTAAGGAAGCTAAACCACTATTGCAAAATTTTAAAAAGTATGTAAAAATGTTCCAGTAATTTATTTCTATACAAATTTTAATATTCTACACCGCCAAAAAAAAAAAAAGTGAATGCATTTTTTTTTTGACAAATTTCATCAATTTAGTATCTGGTGCTTCTAATTTTCTTCTCATGCTTATTTAATTATTGTCCTATAGTACAAATTTCATTATTTGATTTATTTATCTATGTTAAGTTTAAATTGAATTGTTAAAAAACATTGTAAATGCATTCAAAATGATACAAACCTGAATTTAATTAGCAAATGTAATATAATTTTTTGATCACGGTTTCTTATTTATTATAATTAAATCGTTACAATTGTAATTACAAAACTGTTTTTTTTTAGAATTATATCCACCAACCTGTGAGAGATGCTATTGCCCCTTCACTATGCATTCTTGTTTATGTTATATTAGGTATGAGACTCATGTATTACATGAGTTTATTTAAAAGAAAAAACTAAATATAAAATTCTAAACATTAGAAGTTTGAATTTAAAAGAAAAATATTAAATTATAAAAATTAAAGTGTTTTTTTCTCTAAATTTAAACAAATAATTTAGATAAATAAATAAAGGAAATTAATGAAGCTTTAATTTAGTAATTTTGAAATTAAAAAGAAAGTTAATTAAGAAAATTAATATTCATTTATTATTGCATTTAAATATTATGTGGAATTTAATAAAATAGAAAAATCATAAAATGACATGTAGAATAAAAATTAATTCAAAATAACCACAAAATGACATTTAGCAAATTGAATGAAAGTGTGACAAGTGGCAAAAAAACCTTCATTTAATTATTTTCCTATAGTATATTTCAATAATTCAATATCTCGTTCTTCTAATTTTCTACTCATGCTTATTTAATTATTGTCCCATAGTACAACTTTCATAATTTGATTTATTTATCTATGTTAAGTTTAAATTGAATTGTTAAAAAACATTGTAAATGCATTCAAAATGATACAAACCTGAATTTAATTGGCAACTGTAATATAATTTGTTGATCACGGTTTCTTATTTATTAGAATTAAATCGTTGTAATTGTAATTACAAATCTGCTTTTTTTTTTAGAATTATATCCACCAACCTATGAGACTGCTATTGCCCCTTCACTATGCCTTATTGTTTATGTTATATTAGGTATGAGACTCATGTATTACATGAGTTTATTTAAAAGAAAAAAATAAATATAAAATTCTAAACATTAGAAGTTTGAATTTATAAGAAAAATAAGAAAAACATTGAATTATAAGAATTAAAGTGTTTTTTTCTCTAAATTTAAACAAGTAATTTAGATAAATAAATAAATGAAATTAATAAAGCTTTAACTTAGTAATATTGAAATTAAAAGGAAAGTTAATTAAGGAAATTAATATTCATTTATTATTGCATTTAAATATTATGTGAAATTTAATAAAATAGAAAAATAATAAAATGTGGAATAAAAATTAATTCAAAATAACAAAAAAATAAAATTTAGCAAATTGAATGAATGTGTGACAAGTAGCAAAAAAAACTTTAATTTATTAGAATAGATATTTTTATTATTTAATTATTTTTTAAAATAAAGTTATATGTCAAAAATTAACTGGTATATACTTTTTAAATAAGTACGTAACAGTATAAAAAAAGTAAATATTTAAAATCAACTTCCAAATACATCGTTAGGAAAGTTAAGAATTATTTTTTATTTAAAATGATTTATGACAGGAAAAGTATATGAAAGTATATTAGAAAATTAAATATTAAAACAGTCTTACATGCATATTATCATATATTAGCATATACGTAAAAATAAGCTAGCAAGTAAAAGATATTAAATGACATATCGTAAATTGAACGGCCTACTTAAAAGTTTCAATATATAAAGGAAAATAAATATTTTGTTTTCGTTTCACATAGAAAAACTGGTGATATCCTTTTTGTCAAGTATTAAAACGCTGTAAATAAGTATAATTCAAATAAAATATAATAGAGAAATACAAACGAAATTTATACATAATAAAATTCAAATAAAACATAAAATATGTAAAATATAATATAATAAACTATAACAGAGAAATATACACTCTCAAACAACCATACACAAACAATATATAGTACAACATATATATTCCTCTTACGTCCCGGAAATAATGATATAAATTTTTTTTAGATTAATAAATGGTTAATATATATTTTCCCACAAAACCAATATAACCAAGATTTAGCAAAACAATATCAAATCAAAGTAATTAACAAAATGCGAAAACATGTGGTGTGTGTTTGCAATCATCCCGAACTCTTCCATTTGAAAACGGAGTACCTGAAACATAAACTGAAAACCATAAGCACAAAGCTTATTGAGTTTCCAAAATACCACACAACGTACAAACACAGAAATCAAGAGAAATACATAAAGTTGTCGCCCGCCGACGATTCCATTTGTGGACGGCTGCCAAACCTTTCGTCTTCTCAACTTCGAATTGCTGTCGCCCGCCGACGATTCTCTATTGTCGCCGAAGATCACAGTTCTTCCCGTCTCCGATCTCCGGTGATTGCAATCAATCTTGAACCATTCTTTCTGTAAAAATTATAGACATGTGGTTCTTGTCGTCTCCTAACTCGTGCATTCGATTTATTTTTCAGATACAACTCTTTTTCTCTTTTTAGGACTTGTTAAATTTCTTTTGGTATTGTGATATAGAAGCAATCTATCGGGTACTCTTCATATTAAAAGTCAAAAAGTCTAGAAAC